GATTCTAGGGTCCCTTAAGGGTATATTATAGGGTATATAGTAGCTATATTAGGGTCCCAGGGTTAAGGGCCAATACTCGGGGCCCATGGGTTCTAGTTTAGATAGCAAGGCATTTTGGCTGCGAAGTGGGCAGTGCTCGGTATCAGAATCTGGAACAGTGCCAGTGACAACATCATTTACGGTTTTGGGATGTTTTAGGTTTAAGTTTGCGACGAAACAGCCAGCACATCAAGTAATGCTAGCACTGACTTTGAGAAATGTAAGCAAACACTCCTAGATACTTTGAGTCTCCTCAACCTACACCATCCTAAACCCGATGCCCTAGACCCCCGAAAGCCTGAAGCCAAGACGCGGTTGGGGTTTAGGGTTTGGGACTTGTGATATACTGGGCTTATAAGGGTTTTGGGAGTGGAGCAACTTGCGATCCGCATCGCGGGGCCCTTGCCAAGAGGATTTGTCTCTCAAGGCATCCTGCTAGGAAGCGAGCAGGGACCTCTCCCAAGATGGACTCTCTCATCCGTCAGGCAGGAAGTTCAAAGCCTGCACACTAGATTGTAGGGGCAGGGCGCAGGGTGTCGCCAAAACTCGAGGGCTGAGGGTTTAGGGCAGGGCATGAGGTCCCGGGTTTGTGACGTGGCTTCTTCCAAGCCAACGGTCCCTCCGATGACGTCTGATGGCAGCAAGCATGTCCAGCATCCCACGCCCCTTGCTGTAGGATTACTGGGGTGTGGTTGCGATTTCGGTGGCTACACTACAGTCAACGCTCTTGTGTCGCCAAGATGAAGACTTCTAAAGCCCAAGGCAATGCACGCGTTGCAAATGAACTGGAGGCAGTACCGGTAGTATTCCTTGTGTTTCTTCTGGATTCCTTCCCTAAACCCGAAACCCTCAGCCCTAAACCCTAAACCCTATTTTAGGACCCGTTACTTTTCGAGGCCCGTTCGATCCGAAGCTAGGACCGCTCTGTGGAGTTGCTGTCAGGTTTTGTGGACGAGGGTCCAGGACTCCGGAAACAGCTGGGGTTTAGGGTTCAGGGTTTAGCGTTTAGAGTTTACGGTTTAGGGTGTAGGGTTTCGGGTAGCAGCTGACAGCAGTCTGTCCAAAAACTCATAAAGCAGACTTAAGGACCACAAGGGCTCGATTTCAGGGCACTTCCTCCAAGCCAGACCCTAAACCCTAAACCCCTAAGCCCTAAAATCTACAGATCCCAAAACCTTCTAGCGTTCCCACCATAGACTTTTAACAAACCCTAAACCCGAAACCAATCAACTTTGGAAAACCTTAAACCCGAAGCCCGAAACCAGGCAAATTCGAAAACCCTAGACCCTAAACCCAAAACCCTAAACCCTACACCCTAAACCGTAAACTCCGAAACCAGGCAACTTAGAGGCTCTTGGTGCAGGTCCGCTCCAGCCTCATCTCGGAAGAGCTGGGAATGCGCATCGCCGCCTACAGCCAAGCAGCGGAGAAGGCAGCTGGCTTAGGGTTTAGGGCTGGTTATAGGGTTTAGGGTTTAGAGTTTAGGGTTTAGGGTTTAGGGTTTAGGGTCCAGGGTTTAGGGCTGGTTGAACCCTACCCTAAGGGTCCAAAGGACCCTATAATTAGGTACTCGGTTTTAGGATAGTAGTTATGTAGGTTAGGATTTTGGAGAGTGTATGATTATTGGGTACTTGGACCCTTGGGGCTAAACCCTAAACCCTATAAACCCTACAAGCCCTAAGCTGGTGATGCTGAAGGGAGACTAGTGAGCGAGTGGTGTTTTGGAAGTTAGTGTTTGGCCCTAAGGGCTGTGGCTCGACCTCTGCGGAGGGAAAGTCCCAAAGCATTTAAAAAAAAAAGCTAAGCCCTAAAACCTTAAAGCCCAAAGTCCTAATTTGGGGTTAGGGTTTTGGGTCTCCGTGCAGGGTCATGGTTTAGGGTTGGAAGTCTACCCTAAACCCTAAACCCGCAAACCCTAAACCCAGGACCCTAAACCCTAAACCTGGGTTCAGGGATTAGTAAGGGTTTCGGGCTGAAGGTTTCGGGAAGTCTGAGGATCGGATGTAGGGTCGTTGAGGTTCCTTCTGCGTGGTGTATTTCGGAGGATATGTTAAAGGTTTCCGTGGGTTTTATGCTTAGAGTTGCAGAGTCCGTGTTTAGAGCTTCAGAGGCCCACCGGGTGTGCGGTCTTGTCGGTACTGTAGTTCTTTAACAGATCGCACGATTTCACAGTGCTCGCGGTCCTCCAAGCCTTAAGTGCGAACCTTCTCCGTCACCCCTTCCACAAGGAAAGCCCTAAGATCACATTTTCAAGGCTTTAAGACCCAAAGACCCCAATATCCCTTCATTAAGGAATGTCCCTTAACCCTAAACCCTATAAACCCTAAACCGTAAACCCTACATCCATATTAGAGATCCTACTCTAATTCAAAGAAAAATTCTCCTTAATTAGGGGATCTTGGAGTCTGTGGGGAATCAGAATTCCGGAGGCTCCAACACACCCCGAGCCTTTGGGAGCTAAGGGGTCTTTGGGGTTCAGGGGATTAGGGGCTTAGGGTTTAGGGGTTTCGGGGTTTAGGCTTTAGGGTTTAGGAGTTTAGGGTTTAGGGCTTAGGGTTTAGGGGTTTCGGGGTTTCGGGTTTAGGGTTTAGGGTTTATAGGGAATAGGGGTTTATGGTTTGGGTTTAGTGGGGGTTGGGGGGGGGTTGGAAACGATTTTAGTGTGTGTTTACCATATAATCCCCCTGAGAAACAGCTAAGTTTGCAATTTTGCAAGGGTGCCAGGTTCAGGTTTGTTGAATTGTTTAGGCATTTCAGGGTTGAGGTTTTAAGGCTTTCGCGGTCCAGAGGGGTTTTGGGTTTAGTGAGGGTGTGGGACCTAATGTTTAGGGCTGAGACTAGATCCTGTCTAGCACAGGGGTCAGGGGGGGGGGTCCTAAAACCCTAAGCATCCAGCGCTGTAATTAAACCCTAATAGAACCTGTACATCCTAAACCCTAAACCCTAAACCCTAAACCCTAAGCCCTAAACCCTAAACCCTACAGCCCTGAGCCTCCAACTCTCGGCCCGATCCTCGTGAGGCTTCGAGGCGAGGGTTGGGCAGCCAGCACGCAGCTCCAGGCTTTTGGGCTTTTTGGGGCTTAGGGTTTAGGTCAGGGTTTAGGGTTTAGGGTTTAGGGTTTAGGGTTTAGAGGGTTTGGGGGCTTAGGGTTTAGGGCGGGTTTAGAGGGTTTGGGGCTTAGGGTTTATAGGGTTTGGGGCTTAGGGTTTAGGGCTTAGGGTTAGGGTTTGAGGCTTAGGGTTTAGAGGGTTTGGGGCTGAGGGTTTAGAGTTTTGGGGGCTTAGGGTTTAGGGCTTAGGGTTAGGGTTTGGGGCTTAGGGTTTAGAGGGTTTGGGGCTGAGGGTTTAGAGTTTTGGGGGCTTAGGGTTTATGGGGTTTGGGGCTTCGGGTTTAGGGTTTTTGGGGCTTAGGGTTTGGGACTTAGGGTTTAGGGCTTAGGGTTTTTTGGGCTTCGGGTTTAGGGCTTAGGGTACAGGGTTTCGGGGTTTAGGGTTTCGGGGTTTAGGGTTTCGGGGTTTAGGGCTTAGAGTTAAGGGCTTAGGGTTTAGGGTTTATTAGGGCTTAGGGCTTCGGGTTTATTAGGGTGTAGGGCTTAGCGTGTGTGTGTGTGTGCGCGTGTTTAGAGTTTTTCGATGTGCTTGGGTTACAAGGTTTGATTTTTTGGGGTGGTTTGAAGACATACCAGCATTTTTTGGTTTATGTACTACCCTTGTTTCTTCATATAAAATATGCAATATTCCGCCCCTCAACGCCGATTCTAGTTGTATCCTATATTACCCTATATTCAACCCCAGGGACCGGACTCCCGGGTTTTTGCAAAGAGTTTTACGGTTTTGCCTGACCCGGGCATGTCGCAGTCTTGGCGACAGAGGTTTTCCGTATTGTATTATTGTGTTTGTTGCGGTTTAGGGCTTTGTGAACGTTGAAGCATCGGATCAAACTTATCCTTCTCGGTGAGTCTGAAAGCCGGAAGTACGCATCCCAAGCATTGGAAAACCAAAGGCATCAAGACTCTAAGACGAAGCCTCAGAGGCCTCATGACATCCGAAACGTTAACGCCCAATGTCTGACCCTAAAGCCTCAGCTGTTCGTCTACCGAACACCAACTGGAAACGCCCGGCCAGTCGCCCCAAGGATCAGGCAACGCCGTGTGGCATCATCCTTGCCGCAAGGCTACCGAGATCGTGACCCTAAGCCCTAAAGCGCCCCATGTTCAGCTTTTATGATCTCCCGATCTCGGGTTAGGATTCCGGATGGAGGATTTGGAGTGTTGGGTTGTTCTGAGGTCTTTGAGTCAAAAAGGGGAGTAGCTGTGGTAGACGTAGTCGCCGTAGTAGTAGTCGTCGTCGTAGTAGTAGTAGTAGTAGTAGTAGTAGCAGCAGTAGTAGTAGTAGTAGTATAGTAGTAGTAGTAGTAGTAGTAGTAGTAGTAGTAGTAGGAGTAGTAGCACCACTTCTTCTTCTTCTACTACTACTGCTACTACTACTACTACTACTACTACTACTAGTACTACGTATACGTATGAATATGGGTTTCTACATGTCTGTATGTGTCTTTGTTTATGTAGATGTACTATATGTGTGGCTGTATGGATGGATGGACGTAGGTTTATTGTTCGTGTCTGTCTGTCTGTCTGCCTGTCTGCATGTATGTATGTATGTATGTATGTATGTATGGATGGATGTACGCATCTAATGTATGTGGGTGTGTATGTATGTATGTATGTATGTATGTATGTATGTATGTATGTATGTATGTATGTGTGTATGCAACTATGTATGTATGTGTGTATGTATGTATGCATGCAAGTGTGTATGTGTGTTTGTATGTATGTATGTATGTATGTATGTATGTATGTATGTATGTATGTATGTATGTATGTATGTATGTATTTGTGGATGTGTGCATGCATGCATGCATGCATGCATGCATGCATGCATGCATGCATGCATGCATGCATGCATGCATGCATGTACGTATGTATGTATTTGTGTATGCATGCATGGATGTATGTATGTATGCATGCATGTATGTATGTATGTATGTATGTATGTATGTATGTATGTATGCACACATATCTGGGTGTATTTGTTATAAATATCGGCCCTTTTAAGATGCTCTGGTTTAACACCCCAAAACCCCCAAAACCGAATGCAAACAATAACTACAAACCCCAAAAATCATATACAGCCTAATGGCCCCCCCCAAAAAAAACAAATCATCGCACAAAACCCTATGAAAGCATCTAGAAGCTTATACAGCCATACAAAACCATTCAGGCACCTCTGCCAGAGTCGCCGAGCCGAGTCAGTCCGGAGCGCGGTGCGTCCGACAGCTCGCTGCCTATGCCTATGCTTGACGACATGCGTACCTTAGGTGGAGATTAAGATTCACAGCTAGGGTACAGGTTTTAGGGTTTTAATGTGTTCAAGGGTTATGATGTTATTGAGAGCTTTGTTAGGTAAGGGGTTTGGACTCTGGGAGAAAGGGCAGTTTACGGGTTAAAGATAGCGGTTCAGGGTTTTGGGGAAACTTGGCAGGCCAAACAATGGTGTTTTACACTCTTCCATGTTAGGGGCTATGAGGAATCGGTTCTCATCTACCCTAAACCCTAAACCCTAAACCCTATATACCCTAAACTGATGTTCCGATTGCTTTAGGGGCTAGCCGAGGCGATGATCTTGTCGACGACAACGACAGCGCAGGGGAGGAAAGTCGGCTGCAGCTTTAGCCCTAAGGGTCCAAAGGACCCAATAATAAGGTACTTTGGTTGCGGATAGTAGTTATGTAGGTTACTATTTGGGAGAGTATATGATTATTAGGTACTTGGACCCTTAGGGTAGAGGAGAGGCGAAAGCGACGTTTTGGGTCCTCTGACTTCATTGAGCCTTAGAGAATCGTAAGCTTTAGGGGTTTAGGGTTTAGGGGTTTAGGGTTTAGGGTTTAGGGTTTAGGGTTTAGTTAGACTTCAACACAAATCGAGGATCAATGACATGAGTCCTGTTAAACACAAAACTCTAAGAACCATGGGCTCGAAAGCCCTGTATCCTGTGGCACAAAAAGGCCAAGGCACACCAACACCCAGAATCCGAGGAGGTGGCTTCTACATCACAAAACACCAAACTACCCTAATCTTAACCCTGATCCCTATAATCCCTACCTGGACTCTGAAAAAGCCCTTCTTTTTTTTGCACGCATATAAGGGAGTTCATCACAAGGGACCCTGAAAAGGTAGGTCTTATGGGGCCCAGGTAAAGCTTAACCCTTAGCATCAAAATAGCCCAACAGCCTTTTATAATAGGGTCTTTGGGCCCAAAATCCTGAAAATATGAGTCCTTCAAAGGTAAGGGTAACCCTAAACCCTAAACCCTAAACCCTAAACCCTAAACCCTAAACCCTAAACCCTAAACCCTAAACCCTAAACCCTAAACCCTAAACCCTAACCCAAACCCTAAACTTAAGCAAACCCGAGGAAGTGGCTTCTACATCGAGGCGCCTCTTCGAAACACCCGAGTGCAAGGGTCGCACGTGCGCGGAGAATCCGAAGCACCGGATCTATGAGGCCGGTTTAGGGTTTAGGGCTTTAGGGTTGTAGGGTTTAGGGTTTAGGGTTTGAGGGTTTTAGGGTTTAGGGTTTAGGGTTTCGGGTTTAGGGTTATTTGGGGTCTAGGGTTTCAGGGTTTAGGGTTTAGAGTTTAGGGTTTCGGGTTTAGGGTTTCGGGTTTCGGGTTTAGGGGTCTGCAGAGGGCTGAGATACGGTTTAGGATTTAGGGTAGAAGGTCAGATGCCCCCCTATATAAGCTTCCTTTAAAGGTTCGATTGCTTAGGGCTTTAAGAAGGTTTACGGTTTATGGCCTAGGAGCATTTAAGATAGTGGGTTTTTGATTCCTTGGTCTAGCCTTTGAATATGTTGCGGGTGCCCTCACATTAAACACCCCACGCAACAGGGCAAACCACACGTTTGGGGCTCGCGACTGCAAAGGCTGGCATCCACGCCGGGAACGTTGAACGGCTTTGGCGCTCTTCGTCAGATCATCCGCCGAGCCCGTCCGAGACAGTCGCCAGTGCCTCGCTGCCATTTGGAATTCCCGTGTAACCGGCGTTTGCGTTGCAGCGCTCATCGGTTTCAATACATGTTTCTTCGAGTCGTGAGTTCTGTTGGAAGACCCCTAAACCCTAAACCCTAAACCCCTGTAACTTTGTTGACTACAGTCTGGCAGTTGGGTGTGCTTCGAAATCCAGCAACACTTCAGGGAGCCTCTTTTTCAGTATTTAGGGTCCAAGCCCCAAGAGGCCTTTAAACCCTAAACCCCAAAACATGAACCCTAAACCCCAAAACTTAAACCCTAAACCCCAAAACTTATACCCTAAAGCCTAAAACCCTAAACCCTGAGCACACCCTAAGCTTTAAAGGAAATGTTCAACTTAGGCTCGGCCTGGTCCCTGCGATCCAGGCGAGGATCACCGGCCCGTCAGGGTTCGCATTTTACTGGGCTCTGGTTAAAGTTAACCTTTGGTGTTATCTAGGGGTTATATAGGGATATACTGTACTACTCCAAAAAGGGTTAAAGGATACATACTCGGCTACTAGGAGGGTTGAGGAGTTTACCCTAGCCCTAAGGGTCCAAAGGGACCTCACTTTGGTTGCCGATCGCAGTTATCTAGGTGAAGATTTGGGAGAGCATATGATTATTAGGTACTTGGACCCCTAGGGTTCAGGAACTTTGACTTACGTTAGGCTTGGGGTCTAGCGCTTCTAGCAGAGTGTTGTTGGTTTGGTGAAGTATTGGGTAGTTCGGTAATCAGTGCGTCTTGATTTGAAGAGAAAACTCCCCTCGAGCAGCACCCACGAATCTTTTGAACAAGCTGGTTTCGATTACTCTTGCCAGGGCCACTTATAACACCAAGTATAACCCTACTTAGGGGACTTAGCTCTATAACTAAGTCCCCTGAGCGCTTGAATGGGATCTTGCTTCATGGGCCGAAGAGGCGTTGGGGGTTTCTCGAAGTTGCAGGTTTAGGGTTTAATATAGGGGCCTTAACAATTAGAATACGGTTTTGAGGGTTCCTTATTATGATTATAGTAGAATATACCCCCCAAACCTTATTCTAATTATTAAGGCTCCTACATTAAGTGTTGAGGGGTTCGGGGGTTTCAGGATCTAGGGTTCGGTAGGCCTTTGGAGATGTTATTTCCCCTTGTAGGGCCAGAAGAGGGTTTTTGCTTACGAAGCTTACTCAATTAGGCTTCAAAGTGCCAACCTACCCTAACCCAGGTACTTACCTACTATAGGGCTAGTGAAGGCTCTAGAAGGAGCACCTTTGTTTATAGGTTCTAGGCGGGCCGTTCTCTCGAGGCGTCACCGTTCTGGCAATCCGCTGAGCACTCAGCAGCTCGTGGCTTGACTTGCTTCAAGCATACGGCAAAGAACACAGCACGTTTGACGGGATGGTATAGCTATGTGTTTAGAAACTGCTAAACTTAGGGTGCTTCTATATAAGGTTTATTTTGTTTGTGTTCTGAGGGATGTAGGTGGGTTTTTTAGGACTTGGTCGGGGCATCCTGTATCGGGACCTTCATGGATTCATGGTATCGCTCCTACTCGTATGATCAGAGGTCGAAACTCGTGTCCCATCAACCATTACTTTCTGAAGTTTTCTGGCAACAGCATCAATGGTTCCCCAAGGGTCCAAGTACCTAAAACCATACTCTGCCAACTGCTAACCTACATAGCTACTATTCTAAATCCGATTACCTGATTCCCTAAACCCTAAGCCCTAAACCCTAAACCCTAAACCCTAAACCCTAAACTCCTAAACCCCTAAACCCTAAACCCTAAGCCCTATACCCTAAACCCTAAGCCCTAAACCTTTTCCGTAAACCCGAGTACCTCATCATTGGGATCCTTTGGATCATGAGTTGCCAGGACCTACCCCTAGACCCTACCCCGCCATCTAGGATAAATGCCTATTATATAAGCATTATATGGTGGCCCACCATCTCCCTTTGGCGCCATGAAGCTGCCCCGAAGC